TGAGTTATTGTAATAAAGTTGAAAATATTTAAGTCAACTTGAGACCAGAGAATTATATATTCATATATGTCAAACCCTTTTTTTATGAAATTTCAAGAAACATTTTCTTTTTGCGCAAATATAATTCATTTTCTAAGGTATTAAATATATATATATATATCTTAAATGGAGGAGCAATAACAAGTTTATGACTTGCTATTAAGTCCATACGTTTTTGGAATAAATATAGATAACTTTTAACTTTTTTTTATCTGGTAGACCGCTGCTAAATAAATAATAATTATCAGATACTTTTGATATTACGAAGCAGACTGAATAATTTAGCGTTAGGTAGGCATAAAGCTTTCAACTTCAAGGCATGCTGTGCCTTTTAACCCTTGACTTTACGCGTGAAAGACCATACTTTATAGCATTACTTTCTAATGTAATCCCTTTTTATAGAATTGATTTTAAGTTATACATGTCAGCATTTAGATCATTTCCAGCAAATTACTTGTTTTCATGCTACATTAAAAGTTTTAATTTGCAACAGAAAATAGGCCAAAAATAGCTTTGCTAAAAAATGTCTAGGATGAGTAAAAATCATATTATGTCTATCTAACCTTAATGCAGAAAGTGAGTCATTTAAAGAATATTTACTTAGACTTTTAAAAAGTATACTATAATTTATTTAGACGCTTTATCAATGTAGGCTATTTCTATTTTTAGGGCTTGATGCTTAAGCTGCCCATCATTAGTTAAAGGATATAACTTTATCATTAGAGTTCAACCTCTGTGTTATTAAAAGCATATACTCTAAAAGGTTAGTGCTTCTTCTTGGTCACAACAGACATAACATGTGCGCATAGAGTGGCCACTTTACTGTTCGGCCAAAATTCCTAGTCGATCGACGCATCCAAAAGCTAAAGAAGAAGGTCTTCTTATTTTTATCAGATAAAGCTAACTTGTTTATTCTGTCTCAGTTAATGCACTTACTAGCAGTAAAAGCTTGAGTATGAATACTTTGAGTGTAGGTTTTCGCGTCAAATTCGTTACCAAAGTTAAAGCCCTGGCAACTATAAAAACGCGACTCAATTCTCATAAAGTAACATGTCATAAACATCTTTAATGATAAATCGAGCTAGTAAAGACTGTTTTAGGATAATTTTACTTAGTATAAAAGCGCCTGGTAAAGAGGTTTATTGTCTGAATAGAGATTGACCGACCACTTTAAAAAAAGGCTAAAAGAAATTCGCATATGAAGATTGAATTGGTAAATTTATTAAAATAAGCTCACGATTGCTGTATTACTGAGTGGCTTATATATTCTTCATATAAACATACTGACAAATCATGCCTTGGTAGTTTGGTGGTACTCTATTTTTTTTTTAAAAAAACAATCTTATTTTTGATAATTTTATAAATATATATATATATAGTTCTATTATGTTTCAAGATAGAGACCATAAATCACCATTATAGGAGCGTATAATAGCGAATAAATATTACATAATTCACACCCTAAAGATAATATCTCGTCGTATTTCATAGTTATTGAGCATTAGAGAGGTAGTAGAAATCAGAAATTATAAGCAAATATAAATTAAACATAGTTTAAGACAAAATAATATCGTGTCTATCTCAAAGTAAACGCGATTGGCAAAATAATAAAACCAGAACAAACCTAGTAACTTACTAGCCGCTTAAAATAGTTTAGATAAAAACATTTATCTTATAAATATTTTGAAATTAATTACGGCAAAGTGACGGCATCAGCCTATCTAAATTATTATATATTGTGAAATGATGTAAATTTTAAAGCTTTTAAAATTCCACTGATATTACAAATAATTGTAATAAATTCTTAGTTGACTGTATAACTATGTTAATATAATATAGAGTGTAAATTAATATTTTCTAACAAAATTTTATATATAAAGGCTGATGATAAATAATAAAAAGAACTCAAGCAGCATAAAAAAACATCTTTGAAATCGAATCAATTTTGTAATTAAATAAGAGTCACTTAAACCAAGCTTTTAAATTTTACTAGAATTAAGCAACAAAACAGAAAATAAAACTGACATGTTTTTGTATTTAAAGAGATATAAATTATGGCTATTGTACAATTTTGCTGAGATTATTCAAAATCAGAAAATCTACCCTAAATTGTAACGGAGTGAAATACATAAAAAAATTGGTTAAATATAAATGATAAATTATTATTTTGTTTATATTTCCGCAGCTGTTCTTGTAAACAGGGATTTTTTGATAAACTATTTAAAAATAGGTGAAAAAGTTTTTAGATACTGATAATTTTTAAAAATAACAATTTTTATGACATTTATTATAAATTCCAAATGCTGGTAAAATAATGTGCTTCTGTAATTTATGAAGTTTGTAAGTGATTGTAGAT